GGTGCCCATTGTTGGTCTTAAATGATAAATACCATTTTATCCTTCATAAATATTCAAGTGCTTACATTTTGTATATAGGGCTATAGTCAACATATATAAAATATGCAGCGTGAACTGACACAGACAAACACACCTTTCTGTTGTTATCAAGTTTGACATCTTTAGTAACGTTGAAGAATGGAGAGGAAACCTCACACTGGTTGATTCGCTTCCCTCAAGTTCTCATCCCCCTATTTCCAAGCAGGAAGATAAATACTGAGAAGTTCCAATCGGACCCCTCCAGACTTGGTCTAACTGAAATATGAGGGAGAGGAGGATGGGGAAAAGGCCTGGTCTGCAGTGGGACCTCCAAGCGAGGCTGAGCAGCCCAGCACTCTATTGTCAAGCAGCAAGAATGTGCATTCAAGCCTGGGCTGAGCATAGGGGCTGCAGGGTGATGTTGTCCCAGGATGTCTTCAGCTCTCTCCCTCAATTCTGGTTCTAAAACCGTGCCTCTCTAATCCCTCTAAATGCTGCAGGGTCAACAAAAGAAAGGGTTGCCTCTCTACCAGGAGTTACACAATTTTCTGATCCTAAAATCGAAGACTCTGATCCTCCTCTACCCAGACACTACATTCCAGTCCAACACAATCCTTTCACATGTTTAAGAAGAGAGTCCAAGACTGGGGATACTACGAAATGTAGAAAGGACAAAATCAGGAGATGGCCACTAGATATGCCTGAAACTCTCTGGCTGAAAGTGGGTCTGTCTGTGAGGTGTCTTCCTTAGCGGCTCTTGACATTTTCATTGATCACACAACAAGGTAAACCATTTTCTTCCCATTAACGAGTCTGGTCTTCAGCCCCAGGTACTGACGATTCTTCTTCTCTGGTTGCCCATACAACATGTCAGTGACAAAGTCGGGTTCCTCTTTGGTCCTGGGTTGGCAGGTCAGGAAACGAAACAGCATTCTTAGTTTACGACACAAATAGGTCATTGCTTCTGCTTCATCTGATGGCTCCTCATAGACAGGCTGCTTCATCTCGTCATAGGCCGACAGAATCACAGCCTGAAACAAGTTGACCACAATGCAGATCATGATGAGCATAAAAGATGAGAGGAATAGAACACCGAGGACCCTGTTACTAGAGAATTTGGTGTTCTGAAAAGCTGAGACACAGTAGGAGAAGACTGTCTGTGTGGCATGAATCAAGTTGCAGTAGTTCCATTCATGCTGGCCAAATACCAGGTAGCCAAAAGTCATGTACACAAAGAAATAAACTGACACCACAAAGGCCATATGGGTGATGCCAGGAAGAGCAATTTGGATGGCCCTCTGTGCCAGTCGCACATCATAGAAGACTCTGGAATACCTGAGGGTTTTCAACATTGTCAGAAATAATAGGAAACCCAAAATTAACCACATGACGTGATCTACTTGACCAATGGCATGAAATGGAATGAAATTCTTAGGATTCAACAAGTAAAACTGAATGATGTCAGTGGTCAAGAGGAGTTTCCTGAGAAAGAACACAATCAGAACAGTAAATATGCATTTTAAAACAAAGTTAAGTAAATTATATACACTTCTCACATAGGAGGCTCTTTCTTGCACAATGATATAGGCTTCATCAATAATATAAGCTAAGAAAAATATGAGAACGGCCAGGTACAAGTAGATTTCCGCGGACCTGTTCCAGTTAAGGTCAGAAAGTGAGAAAGAGTGTACCGATGCACTTGAGTTTACAACTCCTAAC